TATTTGTTGGATGGTTCAGTTTACTGGGGGATGGGTTGGGGAAAGGTCTTGTGTTTTGAGTGCTTTCATCTACTGGAACCTTAGGGGTGTCTGGTCTCTAACACAAAACACAAGAGTTGGGCAAACTATGGGCCACATCCAGCCCGTGGGACCATCCTGCCCAGCCCTTGAGCTCCTAGCCAGGGAGGCTAGCTCCTGGCCCCTCCCCTGCTGGCCCCACGGCTGGCTCCGGCTGGGCGGCACAACTGCCAATCCTGCCGCTCTGAACAGCATGGTGTGGGGGTGGGGTTGCATAAGGGGCAGGGGGTTCCGGAGGGGCAGGCAGTTGGATGGGGCAGAGGTTCTGGGGGGGCTGTTGGGGACAGGGAACGGGGGGGGGGTTGGATAGGCGTGGGAGTCTTGGGGGGCCTGTCAGGGGGCAGGGGTGTGGACAGGGCTCGGGGCAGTCAAGGGACAGGGAGCAGTGGGGGTGGATGGGGGCGGGGTCCTGGGGGCGGTTAGGGGTGGGGGGTCCCAGGAGGGGGCGGTTGGGGACAAGGAGCAGGGAGGGTTGGATGGTTCAGGGATTCTGAGGGGGGCAGTCAGGGGAAAGGGGTAGATAAGGGGCAGGGCCAGGCTGTTTGGGGAGGCACAGCCTTACTTACCCGGCCCTCCATACAGTTTTGCAACCCTGAAAGTTTGCCCACTCCTGTTATAGACCCTTGCAACCTGCTTTTGGAGTCCTTGCTCACCTACTGAACTGGCAAATATAGTCATTCAGTGCCACTGCAGGATGGCCGAGAGGGTTCGACAGCGTTACAATATATTTAGCATATAGTGCCTGCGGATTGGCTGAAGGGGCTTGGGTTTTTTTTGTTACTTGTTGAATTAGGCAGGGGATTGGACAAAATAAGACCACAAGAGAGTAAGGGTAATGTATTTAATATTAATCACACTACTCTAATTTGTGGTCTCTTCTTTGGTGTACTGGATATTGATTTTGAGCAACTTAACTCTCAATAATTAAGATAACTCTGTTATTAAAATAAAGTTAATGCTTTTCAGGATTACTGCATGTGCTACCTGCAGGAGTAATGTGCATGTGGTATAAGACCTGTCAGGATGACTGAAGGACTGTTACTCCAAATGTTTCTTTCTGGGTTAGACAGGATTGGGGCCGGGGGGGGAGGGGAGAGGGTTGTGGCTGTACTGGTCACATTTGTGTTTAAATGTAGAATATTTTCCACCCCAAAACTACATTCAAGTATGAGAGTGAGTCATGAGAGACCAAAATGGAAATTCTTTCTTATTGTACAAGCTGCTATAATACACAGTAGTTTCTAGTCAGGTTGGTTGGATTCCTTTCCATTTTGGATCTAAAATTGTTGAGGATGAGCGTCCTTGGAGATTGAGTCAGCAGTCAGATATCATGGCTTCTGTTGTAATCATGGGATCATCCTGGGTGATTTCAAGCTCAGTGCATACAGATGGCACTGGATCTTAGGTTTGGATGGCAATTAGAAGTAGAGGTGTGGAATGAGGGATGTGAAGATTCTGTTATCATGGAGTATTCTCACCTCTTGTTTTAGTAGCAGTGCTTACTTCTGCCCTGGATGACTAGAGAACTAATTGGATTATGTCCAGGCTTGGAAGGATTACATTTTTATTGGTAAATGTCAGTTTAACTGTACCACAAAAATTGACAAAAATCCACTAGTGATAAAAGTTTGCAGATAGACAAAGTAAGAAGAGGTTTCAGAGTAGCAGCCGTGTTAGTCTGTATTCTCAAAAAGAAAAGGAGTACTTGTGGCAACTTAGAGACTAACGAATTTATTTGAGCATAAGCTTTCGTGAGCTACAGCTCACTTCATCGGATGAATAGTAAGAAGAATGCTTCTTCAGAATTTATTAGTTTGATTTAAGGATATTCGTTTTGTGTATTTCTTTTGACACGTGGTGGTTAACAGTTACAAAGCTTTAAATTTTTTGAATCTGTCTACTGTCATTAAATAATTGCCTAACCTCCCCTTTGCAGCTTTGAAAATTTAAATATTTTAAAATAATGGATAAACCCCATAATTTTGCACAACTGTGAAAACTTAAATTGATAAAATTCTAAAATGGTTAAAAATAAACATCGATATTATCCATCAATTTAAAAAAAAATCGATTTCTGACCATATAAGAAAGCAAAACTAGAACAATTGAGAAGGGAAAGGGAGATTGTCAGATTAAAACTTTTTTATACACTTTTAACGCAAACAGTTGAGAAGATGCATATATTTAGTAATGAGATTTTATGATATAAACTTTAGATTAGGGAGGACATCTTCAAGCAGTTTATATCATTTTTAAGAATAGGGCATATTATTGGACATAAACAAAACTTCCTTTTAAAAGTTACTTTGGTTTTGGTTGTGAAGTTATAGTTTAGATGTAAGTGAAGAGAAATGAAGTGTGGCTGGAATAAGTTTCCTCTGCTGCTGTAGCATCAAGTTATTTCCACAGTAATAAAACACTTGCATCAACCTTTTTTTTTTCTTGTTTTAACATTAACATCCAAGGGTAAATTAACAAACTTAATAATAAGGGCAAAACCATTTTATTGTTCTAAACTATGGCTCAAGCAATAATAATCCATCAATTTCTTTATAAACAACATTGACACTATTTAAAAAACTAGTGTCATTCTTTAGTTTTATTGCAAATAGCCAGAACCCACTGTACATGGATTTAAAATAAGTTGACATTGACTATTGCTGAACTGTAATGGAATTCTTTGCTGTGCCAGTTGTTCCTTAGAAACCAGAGTTGTACAGAGCAATGATTTTAATTATGTTCATGGAAATTTTTTAAACATATTTTCAAATGGTGGGGTGAATCTAAAAATGAAGAATGAATAAAATCTGATTAGTAATGGTTATAACTTTGTCAATGTCATCTCAAGTATCTTACCTTCATCTTCTTAGAATGTAAGTTGATTTAAGTTGTAGGTGATCTGAACTAACCTTAAGGCATTTAATTAAAAAATATAATTAAATATGGTATGGGGGAGATAATATAAATATCTGGATTAAAGTGCTCCTTATGAAATGTATCTCCTCTTAAAACACCATCTCTTTTATGTAAATGACTAAGACATCAAGCCAAGCTATACTTGTGTTGCTCAAAATGAGACAAAATTCTGATAGAATGACACTGATTCTCTATAGTTTCTTCACTTTTATGAACATTATAAAATAAAGACCCTCCCTCCTAATAGTGATAGTCTATTAAATTTTGTGCTGCATTTCTTCCAAACAATATTTGCAAAACTTAAGAAACCAAACTGGTTGCATCTATTTTCTAAAGATAAAGCAAATAAGTAATAAAGAATGGGATTGTCTCAAAGTGATTTTCAGTGTGTATGAGGTAAAACTTAATAAGGCTGTATTTTTTCACTGTTATAGATTTATCAGAAAATGTTGAAAGTGAATGTTTGCTGTGGGAACACAGTAGATATCAGTGAAATTAAAACTTTCAGCCAGTTGTTGTTGTTTTCCTGCTGCATGTGTGCAGAGTAAAGCTTAACACAAGGATATGAGTGACTACTCAGTCTTGTTGAGGTAGGATAGCAGGAGCGAGGAAGGGATGGGAGACTGTAGGTATGACTTCCTCATGGGCGCTCTCAAGCAGAGGCTGTCGACCTGAAACATTGCTATGAGGGTGTTGGAAAGAAAAGATAGGAGACCGCTAGAAAGGTGACCTGTATCTGCCAAAGAAAACAGCATTATTTTCTCAGGATAGGATTGGCTCATGTTTCTTCTAAGCTTTTTGTCTTAACTCTTCTTTCCTCTCCCTGGTGTGGTCATTTGCAGAACAGGCTTATTGTTCAAGCTGTCTGAGGAGGAATAAAAGTTTGGAAGGGGAAAAACGCTCAAGGACTGAAAAGAGAAGTGATCTGCTCCTGTTCCTCTCCATAAACAATAGTCTTTTTGGGGTGGGTGGGCCCTGGTTCTGTTATATTCTTGAGTACTTTATTTCTCTACATCTGGATGATTCCACACCCTATGGTTTAGCCAGACTTTGGAGCCTTTGTAGGCATTTTTGTAGACCAGTCTGGCAGACTTCAAAGCCAGGGCTACTGTATAGACAATAAAATGTCAAAGTAGTTGAAAATGGATTCTAATAGCTGGATTCCCCATCCTGTGGTAAAAAATAATGAGAGATGGCCAAGGAGGAAGTAACTTCTATAAAGTCCTCATCCTTCCCTTCTAGTGGTCTCTGGATTTCTTTTTTTATTGGGGTGGAGGGTGAAAGTTGTCCCCCTCACTTGTGAAATGAATCCTGGGTGCAGGGGGACATCATGGCTTTAGAGCCGAAGTGGTTTTCCCCTCCGGCCCCTTCCTCGTGTTCCTTGAGAGCATGACTCCACCAGAGATGTGCTTCCTAGGACTTCACTGGTCATGGTTGCCCTGAAGGTACCTCTTGACAAGAGGGATCTTAACTGCAGAAGGGGTTCCATGGAAGATGTGATACAGCCCCAGTTTTATATAGTTGTAACTATTTTATTATAGGTATGAATTTGAAGAAATAAGTTGCTAATAACAGTGGATTTGTAATGGTACAAATTAGTTAATTTTTGTCCTGAATTTCCCATATGATTTCCTTGGGTAATCTCAGTAGAGACGCGCCCTTGGAAAATAATGGGAGTTTTGCCATTGATTTCAAGGGAAGCAGATTTAGTCCCTTTTAAGAATGTATCCAAGACAATGCTGCCATCCTCTGTTCATAGCTGTCTTAATGAGTATGTCATTGGTAGCAGGGAAGAAAAGCTAATTTTGAGAAGTAACTAAATAGAGAAAAACATTCTGTTTTCACTGTAAAATTGTTCAAACACTGCTGATCTAAACCTATTTCACTAAAGAACTAACTTTACATTTAAAAAATGTAACTAATTGGATTTTGCCCTGTGATGTGAAACAAAGTATTTTTGTCCTATTTTTGTTGAATACGGATTGAAATATAAATGTTTCTTTCAGTCTTACTAACAATTCTCGGATTGTGGGTCTACTGGCACAGCTGGAGAAGATCAATTCAGAATCTTTGTTGGTAGAAGCAGACACTGCCAGATATGTTACATCAAAGATCCTCCATCTGGCTCAGAGTCAAGGTAAATATTTTATTTTACTTAATGTTTTAAACATTGTCCCTGCTCATCTTTCTACGCCTCATCCCAAAACATACTCCTATACATATGACTGCCACATTTCAGCACTGAAGTTCTGTTGGTGTTTTCCCATCTTGTCCTCTAGAAGAATTTCTGTATTCCTTGTTTATGTGAACAAACAGTGAAAAGTTGTATTTATGACTTGTCTTTATGTATTTGCATATTGAACACAAGATTCTTTCATTAGGATAAGTTTCTCCTATCTCAGTTCTTCATAATCTGACAGTTAGCCATATTATACAGTATTTTTGGTCTCCTAAGAGTACTACCTTGTTCCACGAGTAATTCTATCAAAACAAATGACAGTACTTTTGGATTAAGGTACTATTCTGCATGAACAGAGATGGCAGAATCAAGGCTCTTTCTTTGCTGTCTATAATTTCCGTTGTAGCTTCTCCTTACTACTGTATTTAGGCATTCACATTTTAAAAAAATAAATAAATAAAGAGAACCAAGCCACTTGTATTGTTGCTTAAGAACATGCTATATAGAAATGAATTTGGTTTTTGTAATTTACTTAAAAGGGGAAAAAAATAACAAAAAGACAAGTATTTTTTCTGCATCTCTTGGCTGAAGAAGAATGTAACCTTGAAGGTCTTCGGGTAAAAGATTATTTCTGGAACCCTGAAAGCACATCCAGTAACACTCTGGAATAACAAAGAAGGAACCTCATTAATATATAAAACAGCTAACTGATCAACAGAACTTCCCAGTACAGCCAAATCTATCGGAACAGCCTGGCAGACAGAAAGGGAATGGCAAATATCTCAGAGAATGATGTTGAGGTGGCTTTATTTCTCACATGCACTACAAAAGAGGCATCTTAGTTCTTTTCTTTCCTTCCTTCCTTTTTGAGTTCAGATTGCTCTTGCTCAAGTGCTGTATGATCTCCGTTTATTTTGCTTCTGTCTGAGACCAGGGTCATTGGTGTCCACAGCAAAGATCTTTCAGTGTGTGCAGATTTCCTCTCAAACCTGTGACCTTTTCAGAAGAATTGAATTTTTAGTAACTGGAACTTCTTGTCCGTCCTTTTTTAGGAAGACTGAGGAAAATGTGTACTAAATCTGCATTCCTGTTGTCCTTTAGATTGCGTACATCAATGCATCATTATTCCAACCTGCCATTTTTATCGTTCCTTCCCCAGTTCCTCAATACTGCAGGCGAGCAGTCTAGCTAGTGTTTGATGGCTTACCGAAGAACATAAGAGTGCCCATACTCGGTCAGACCAATAGTCTATCTAGCCCAGTATTCTGTCTTCTGACCTTGACCAGTGCCAGCTACTTCCAAAGGAATTAACAGAACAGGGCAATTATCGAATAATCCATCCCTTGCCATGGAGTCCCAGCTTCTGGCAGTCAGAGGCTATGGGGAACCTGTGCCAGTACCTTCTGTGCAGAACCTTCTGCACTCCTCCCAGCTCCCTTACTAGCACAGTCCATCATTCTGTCTCCACCTTCCAGTGGCTTTCTCAGTAACTTATCTGAATGGTCTGGGTCATACTGCTGGCTTGTCTGCTTCAGAAAAAATCCAAATAGCTAGAATCTGCAGAGAGTCCAGCCTGAATTCCTCTCCTCCCATGTCCTCTGTGTGTGTGTGCGTGCATGCACGCACGCACGCGTGCATACCAGGCTGGCCTAGAGTAGGTTGCTGTCTTTATATGACCTGCTAGCAGGTCTTCACAGATCAGTGAAATAAAGAATAATCTAGTGGATTATGGCAGTGGATCTCACCCTCACCTGTGACTAAACGTTATAATAGAAAAATGTTTTAAGAACTTCCTCCCACATAGTCATAAAGAAAGGGAGGGTCGGTCTTGACCCTACTTTGACCAATTTGTGACCAATTAGTTGAAAATTCCTGACTCTCATCATCAGGAATCACTCATCACCATCCAAAGTGACAACTCTTTACACAATGTGCATGATTGTGTAAAGAGTTGTCACTTTGGATGGGCTATCACCAGCAGGAGAGTGAATTTGTGTGTGGGGGTGGAGGGTGAGAAAACCTGGATTTGTGCTGGAAATGGCCCAACCTGATGATCACTTTAGATAAGCTATTACCAGCAGAACAGTGGGGTGGGAGGAGGTATTGTTTCATATTCTCTGTGTGTACATAAAGTCTGCTGCAGTTTCCACGGTATGCATCCGATGAAGTGAGCTGTAGCTCACGAAAGCTTATGCTCAAATAAATTGGTTAGTCTCTAAGGTGCCACAAGTACTCCTTTTCTTTTTAAGACTTATGGGAGCACATCCCATGGTTGTCTGTACTGCCCTAAGCTAAGCTGTTATGATTCTTTCCCAGTGACTTGAGAAAGCATGTTTGTCCTTCAGGATATGCAGGGGAATTGTGGGAAGGCATTGGAGGACTATTGGCAGCTGAGTGATATAACCTGTGCCCTCATTGTAAGGGAGATGGGGGTGGTTCCCAATCTCAGTGAAAGTGACACTGGGCACTCTTTTTTACATCGACAGCTAGTCCTGGTTAATGCACACCAGACTTGAGAGGAGACAGAGGGTTTTGTGCATGATATGAGGGAGATTAGGAGCAGCTCCTGAGTAAGGGCCACAGTTAATTCTGCAGTGAATACATATGTTCATTGTATGTAATTTTCACTCCCATAAATACTAGGTACTACTTTTTAATGAAAGTTTATATTCTGGAGAATCTGTGCAACATTTTTGCAAGAGGATGATTCTGCAGCAGTTTAGTCAGTCATATAATCACAGTATAGATACAGTTTAGAGTTATATAGCTATTTCCATACTAACTCTTTTTTCAGTGGCTCATGGCTTTCAAAATTTTAAATTGGAGCTGTTTTTTATAGGTTGGCTTCTCTCTGAAGTGAATGTTTGTTTGGTTTTGGAAATAACTGAATAAAAGCGGTTCAGCTTGTGATGGGGGTGACCTGACCCTTTAAAATCAGTGGTTTCTAGGAGTCAGCCCACTGCCATCATGTGGTGTGGTCATTTAAGATTTTGGCAGGTCTGATATACAAGGACCTAGGAGAAATTGGGCGAGAGGAAATGGTCTCAGGAGTAAGTAGTATTTCAGAGGAAACCCCATTACTGATTCCTTAAAGTCTTGGGACCAGGAGCTTGGCAGCCAGGGCAAGACAAAGCTCCTGTGACTCCTGGAGCATTGGAATGAGTTTTGGGAAGGGGATCAGCACATATGCTGCCACCTCCCTCCTGGCAGGCCAGACATCAGCAGGAGAAGGCTGGCCTGCTGAGCCCTTCAAGGTGGAAGGCTAAGTGGGGAAAAGGTCCAGCTGAAAGTAAAGCTGGCTAGGGTCCTACAGCTGGTCTAAATCACAGCCTGATCTCCAGGGAGAAGAGCTGGGGGGATTCCTGTCTGAAGGAGGTACCTGCCTCCTGTCATTATCTCAGCTCTGAGAGGAGGGCTGGGGGGAGCTCCTGTCCTAGGGAGGGAAACCAGTAGGACCATTTGAAATACGGCCCAATGGCTGCCATAGAGGCTGAGGAGCCACCAGGAGTAGTAGCCTAAAGGGAACCAGATCTTCTGGAGGAGGTGACCCACCGTGTGTGACTCTGAGGAATGATCTGCACATGACGGATGGTAGGAAACAGGCCAGGGACAAAATCCAGTACTGCACTCATGGGAGGGACACAGGGAGGGCACATGACCTCCCCACGTGACCCTCCTTGTGACTCCTCCCTCCCATCCCGGGGCTCTCCCCGTCCCCCCTTACCTGTCTAAAATTTTACAACTTCATCTGTTAAATAGAGAATAGCGTAGCTGAAGTTGGCGTATCTTAGATCGACTTAGAATCACTTACTTACTTCGTCCTCGCGGCACGGGATCGATCCCCCTGGTGGAATTCCGGAGTTGACGGCAGAGCAATCAGGGATCGATGTATTGTGTCTACGCTAGACGCGATAAATCGATCCCCGATAGATCGATCACTACCCGCCGATCTGGCAGGTAGTGTAGTCGTGGCCTGAGTATTGCTCTCCACCAGGCACTAGGAAAGCAAAGATGCTGCGCCTTCTGGGTTTGATGGAAAAAAGGCATAGAACTGTGTGTGCCATGTGCATCTTGATAGAACTACAGCCCAAATTGTTTTATTGTTTTCCTCAGCATGATATACAGGAGGGGCAATCAAAATCATCCTGGCAGAACGTGCGTGATAACTGTGGCTGGACAGATAGAATGTGATTTTGATCAATTGTTTCTGATCTCTTGGGGCCAAATTCTGTTCCCATTGAGATCAAAAGGAGTTTTGCTATTGAGGTCAATGGGAACAGGCTTTGACATTTGGAGAGGAAAGAATAAAACCACTCAAGCAAGGGCTACGTTGCTTACACAACAGGTATCAAAGGCTGCTAACTCATGTGAGAAAGTCAGCAGACATCTGATCTTTGTCCATTGCAAGGGAGAAATCAGCAATCAATGAGGCTAGAACAGTGTCTGTACCATATCCAACTCATAAGCACATCTGCAAAGGATCAAGGGAATATGAAGGCTCCAGATTACCTTAAAGTCGTCAGTCCCTTGGTTAGAATGCTCCCATTAGTTTATGTTCACAGTCGAGAGGCTGGAGCAGGAAAGAGGCAAAATGGATATGTTTCCAGGCCAGGGGCTTTTAGCTTCTGCCAAGTGCCAAGTAAAGGGAATCTGTTCTTACTGTGAAAGATGTTTTGGAGTCACTGGGAAAGTTAGATGTCCATCACCCCCACCCACATTATAGTTAGAACATTCACAAAAAGTCCATTAAGAATAGACAGGAGTTTTCAAGAATGTGAGCTAAGTGTTCCATAATGGGTCATTCAATTTGACTTGTCCCTCCATGTGCTAGCTAAATACCTTGAGGGCATTAACATAGGAGTAAACATGTAGTAAACATAGCTAATATTCATAACTTTAGATACCAAGATGAATATACATGCATAAAATAGTATAGTCATAAGTACCAGCTATTTCACCTACATGACTATTCCCAGAAGAGATTCTGAAAAATCACACCATTTACCTGAGACCCTATGTGCCAGCACCATCCCCCACTGGAGTTTTATCATCTGTTATTTAACAATAGAGATGGAGCCAGTGCTGTGACTCCATTTAGCTTAAAAGGGCAAGGTTAATTTTTAGCTGTTCAGGTGTGACTGCACCTTTAGTCAGTGAGGGTATACTGGCTGGCACACATTCAGGTTAATGGGCTTCAGTGTTCCTTTTCAGTTAACCTTTTAATGTTCATAAACCTGGTGTGTGCTGAGGTGGTCTAAAGCATAACACAGGTTTTTAGGTTTGCAAATCTGTGAACCTCTGCCTCTTTGAGATTTTTATATATTTTTTTCTGGTCAAAGAAGAATGGAATCAATTGTTTAGACTGAAGGTTGGGGAATGAAACTACTTATATTTTGTGTTGCCCTTTATAATAAAATGGGACTGTCTGAAACTTTTGTTGAATGTAAGGATTACATAGCTCACTTGTGGATTTGTCTATTAAATAAGTGTTTATTCATAGAAATCTATTCTGTTACAGAAAGCATAATGACATGTAATTTCTGGTTTAGATGTGGCCAGCCAGTGTAGTATGATCCTGATCTTTTATTAGTTTTATTATATTAGCTACTTTCTTGGCAGAGCATTTGTTTTCATTAATTGGTTTTCAGCACTTTTGAGGCTAAAATGTCCTTTGTTCAACTGATCATAGGGCATGAAGCATCTCTTCTCATACATCTGCATTTATTCTAGCACACTCAGGGTATTGGTGGGGAAGTATGAAAAAAGCAGCCAATTTTAGAAGCAGGCAGAAACTGTTTTGGGTGTGAATGATTGCACTTAAAATGACATGGATAGTGATTCTGATTATTTCTCTATAGTGTCAGTAAATACAAGCTTAAGAACGTTGCCTGTTTTTCTTCATCTTGCTCTGATGTTGCAGTTGAAAGTGAGGTTTCAAGGTTTGGCTTCTTGATTACTTGATTTGCCTCACCTAACGTGAAAAAGTCAAACCAAAATGAACTGGTACATAACCAAAGAAAAGCTCGATTTGCCTTCTATGGCTCTGTGCTCACGAGAAAGTAGATGTGCAAAAACAGTATAATAAACTCTCATGAGCTGTTTTATGCAGTCTGGTGCCCATCCACAAGCAAACCAGAAAGAAACTTTATTGGGATTATATATTGATTTGTTTTGGCAGTTACATGAATCAGGTAACCTGAATCAGGCGATAAGGGAATCAGATCCTGAAAATGCCCATATTGAAGTACTATTTGCAAGTCTTAGGACAGCAATAATTGCAGAAAATGTGTGATGGGTGAGGTAAGATAAATAAAATACTTTACCCTTTTAATAAGGTGGAGAGGGAATCATAGGCTGTGGACTTTCAGTGTCTAGCTCCATAAATTGATATTGTTCATGTACAGAACTACAGCTACTTATTTCACCCCCTTTTCTTTTTCAAATGTTGGCATTACTGTGTTGTAGCACAGTAAACAAGATAGTATCTGATAATATGTTAACCCCCGACTCCTGCACCTAAAAATCCATCGTCCTTCCTCTTTCCTTGCCTGGAATAAGGCTGCTGTATAAAAACAGCAGGAAATTGTTCTGGAAATCTCAAAAGCTGACTTTCTCATGAAATTTCCAGAAATTCCTGTTACTCTTACATGAGTCAGAATTATTGCACAAGATACCTTTCTTTGCAGTATTTTGCCCAAAACTGTGGTGTGTGGAGATATACGTACACTAAAAGAAAAATGTTAACCAAAATCAAAAATAAATTCAAAAGTAGTTCAAATTTTCTTTAAAAATTAGGCAAAGGTATGAATTCATTCCTACTGTATCTAAATCAGTTGGTTCACCCTAATTTTCATATGCTTTTGTACCCTAAGTGACTTTTGTGTGTGTGTAGGTTTTTTTTCCCATAGGTTAGATTTTTCTGAATGTGGTATCCATTTCTTATGTTCAGAAATTGCTCAACTAATTTTATAATATCCTTTGAGGGGAAAAAATAATCTCTTGGACTTTCAGAAAAAACCAGGAAGGAAATGACTGCCAAAGGTTCCCCAGCAATAGAAGTTATCCTCTCAACATTAGAGGTAAAGCATCTTATTCATGTACGTGTGTATGTCTAAGTGGTATACTTCGTAAATATCAGACTTCCGATTTTTCAATATTTAATTTTCTTGGCCTTTCCTGCTACGAGGTACTTGTCCATGGTCTTGATCATTACATGATATCTAAGGCCTTGATTCAGCAAGTTTCTTAAGAACATTCAAAGGAGCTACACTTGTACTTTAAAGTTAGGCTATGTTTAGGTGCCTTGCTAAATCAAGGTCTAAAAATACGTAAGTCAAGTGGTTTGAGTTGCAGTAGGAACTCTGAGAAGTGTCAATCGTTAATCAATTCTGATGTTAGAATTTTAACCAGAAATATACAAGTTTCTTAAAATATGAAAAAATAACCTGAAGTATTTACCAAAGAAAATATCTTTTACAAGTAAAATTCAAGGCAAAATACAACTGCTTGTTTTGGAAATGTCTGTGGATCTCAAAAGTTGGAGAATTTGGGCACATATATATCTACAGCTGGTTTATTTGGGTATAAATAAACTGTGAAGCTTGGAAGGAAAGGCACGTGTGGCTGTGGAAAATAAATGTAATAAGGTACTCCCATTTATAAGTCTTGAAACAAAACCTATTACTGTTACAAATTAAGCAAGGATACATCTGTGTCCAGTATGCCGCATTTGTTACCAAAACTAAAAGAATATTATTTAATTTCAGAATACAAGAGATCTTCAGACTACTCTAAATATATTAAATATCCTCATTGAATTGGTGTCAGTTGGTAAGTTTTTTAATCAAGTGGCAATTTTTGTGTACTTTGTGCAAATTGTTATATTTTTTCAAAAATGTTTGAAAAATTAAAATAGCTGATTTACATAATTTTATTTTCTGAGATTAAAAGAATGATCAAAAGTCTAGTTTATGCATGTCTATAAAAGTTGAACATTGCCAATGCTGCTTGGTGTATTGCAAATGGATATGAATAAAAGACTAAATAGCTAGGTATCTTAATTTTTTTTAATACTTCTGATATTTCTATTTTTAATTTCAAGGTGGTGGTCGGAAAGCAAGTGCCTTAGTTTCTAAAGGAGGGACGCAGATCTTGTTGCAGTTACTTTTGAGTGCCAGCAAAGATTCCCCACCAAATGAGGAGTTAATGGTGCAGCTTCATTTTCTTCTTGCAAAAATTGGTCCAAAAGGTATTCCTAATTATAACGGTTAATACTTTGTCCATGTGTAATAGTCTTCAAGTGATGATCTCATTGAACTTTTAAAAGATTGTTTCATCACAGATACTAGGTAACTCTATCTGCTCTATTCTACATTATAACAGTTTTTATGGTGTGCTTATCACTGTAGTGGTTGCTTAATGTACTACTGGAAGACTCTTCAAATGACTACACACCTGTCACATCTTGTCCATTTACAGTTGGATAAACAAAGACAGGGAATTCAAGAATAAATTTTTGGAAGTGTTGAGTAATTTAGGGTACCTCAAATTTGGAGTGCCCAACTTGATATTTAGGGCCTGGTTTTAGGAGCCTGATTTTGGAGGTGTTGAACCTTTCAAGACAGGCACCAGTGTACTCAGCATTAGTGGATGAAGGCATGCCTTCATCCAAGAATGGAAGAAGGAAACGAAGGGAAAGGTGAAATGGAGTTCATTATGCAGAGGAGAGGGGTAGAGATGTAGAAATAGCATATCTTTTGTCGCTTTTGAATTAAACTTATTTAGTTACAAAAGTAGAATAATTTAGCTTCAAAATCAAATTCAGTGATTTTCTTTGTTTTTGGTTTTGTTCTATTTGTTACAGATAAAAAATTTGGAGTAAAAGCTAGAATCAGCGGCACTCTAAACATATCTCTGAATTTGGTGAAACAGAATTTGCAGAACCACAGGTTAATACTGCCATGTCTTCAAGTACTAAGAGTATACTCAGCCAACTGTAAGTATTGCAAAACATTCTTTTCTCTTTTCTATACAATGGTGGGTAAAGTACTTGACAATGTTTAAAATGGAGAATTTAATTTTTTGTTTAATCTTACATGATTATAGTGACTGTTCTTTTCTGAAGACTTTTTACTACTTTTAAGTGGTGTCCCTTAAGTATGCCTCTCGAGCCCTTGATCGGAGATATGCAGCTAGCAGTGTCCGTTCGGCCCCTGCACATGCCTGTGCCGCCTCATGCCGGATACTGAGACTGTATAGGGGGTGCAGGTGAACAGCCATTAGTTCCTGTTCACCCGCCTCAGCCTGAGATGGAGCCTTAGTGTGGTAGCCTTAAGCTTGCCTTGGCTTTTCTAATATTTCATTAGTGATTAAGATAGTTTTTATAGTTAGATAAGTAGTGAAAGGATTGTTTGACTCCTCTTTCTCCGGGAGAGACTTAGTATTTTCCTGGCAGGGCATGCCTGTCTTGTCAGGTTTCAAATGTTGCCTCTCCTAATGAGAGGCTATAGCTTTGAGCGACCACCATTCTGTGTGTCCATTGCTTGGGAGAGTCCCACTTCTGCCTGGCTCTTGCATCCAGGGCAAGGACAAACAGGGGCATTAAATTCAGACTGCTAATGATCAAACACACTCTTCAGCCAGTTACTGAGTCCCGTTCGGAGGCCACCTCTCTTCCCCCCTCAGGCAGATCCAGCACAGGCTTCCTCTGTGAAAGGGAAGACTCTGATATAGCTTCAGGGAAGGCTCACCTTAAGGAGCCAACTCTGAAGAAATCCCAGGTTCTCGGCGAGATCTAGCGTCGCTGAAGCGTTGACCTCTCAGCTCGCTACTGTTGAGGTGAAGGACTCCTCTTCCGGCACTGGTGGGGCTGCAAAGTCCTGGAGCACAAAGGAGAGACACAGCTCTGATTGGGCCTCAATACCTTCTGCCAGCGCGGCAGGCAAGCATAGACCCTGGGGACTGGTACAGTTCAGTCCAGCTGTTGGTACCCAAGCATGCAGCACCCTCTGCACTGAGCAAGCAAGAGCACCAGATGCCATCAGTGTCTACTTCAGTATGTCCACCATTTGTGGTACTGTTGGCTTTGCCGACTGTCGCATAGGCCACTGCATCAGTGCCAGTCCCTTAGTTGGTACTGTGAAGGGTTGGGTCCCTCAAGACTGTTACTAGATATGCTGGGATACCACTGAGAACAAACCCCCCTGCCAGAGAAGGCTTCCTTCCATTCCCGTCTTGCTGAGCTAGACGCACCAGTCGGCTACAGCACAGACCAAGAGATTGGGCCACACACCCCTGCAGTTCATAGAAACTAAGATTCACTTAGCCCAGGGGCTTCTCAGTTAACACAGCGTTTCCCAGGACCCAGTATTCTGTCTTTCTGGGAGCCTAAACCCCAAATGAATCCATTTTACTATGTATAAAGCTTATATAGGGTAAACTCATAAATTGTCCACTCTCTATAACGCTGATAGAGAGATATGCACAGCTGTTTGCTCCCCCAAGTATTAATTACTTACTCTCGGTAAATTAATAAGCAAGTGATTTTATTAAGTATAAAAAGTAGGATTTAAGTGATTTCAAGTAATAGAACAAAGTAAGTGCCCAATCAAAGCAGTTTGCCTGAAAGGGGATTGTGTAGGAATCTGCCTGATGAGCCAAAGGTGATTCTGGATGTAAGTAAAATTCAGGAGTTGGTAGTGGCTCAGCAGAGGAATGCTTCTGTGGAGCAAGATAAAGATGAACTGGTGCTTAAAAAGATTCCTGAAAGAAAAAAATTTCAGGCTAGTCTTTGCAACCAGTTTGCTGCAACTGAAGGGTGTGGAAGTGATTTGATTAAGGAAGTTTGAGTTCCTAACAGACAGAAATTTTCTGTTGTGAATTGATCCACTGACTTTCCTTTTGAAGATCCAGTATGTATCACTTTGAGAAGGTCTCGGATGGAATGAAAATTGTTAAGAAAGTTAAACAGCCCTATAACCAAGTGGTTGTGCTTGACCTGTTTGTTGGGAAAACAATGTTGTTGGGACAGAAATGTCTCCATGTAGATTCTGTGAGTGAATGGTCTGTGACTCAGGTGCAGAGTGAAGACTCGGTAGCGGAGTCAGCAGACCAGGACAGCGGTGCAGTTAATATCTTAAAAATACAGGGGAGGGCAGGTATACTCATCTCTAAACACTTTAGATATGACTTGTAGTCTCTCAGTGGACTTAATGTGTGATTCCATGTGGAAGCAGAGGTTGGTAATGGAAGGAAACCAGAGGTTGGTAAAGGAAGGACAACAGAACTTTGAGTCTAACTTGCTAGTGAAAATGGATGGTATCTCTTTAAGACAAAGTCCAGCCTCGAAATTGGTAACAGTTAATGATTTAAAAACTAGTAAACAAGCTAGTGTCTGTGTTGATGCACATTACCTGGCTGACCGAGAGGGGGGGGAGGGGGAGACGGAGACGACTTGCGAATAGCTGTTAGCAAAGAGATCATACCCGATCAGCCAGTGAATTCTGTTAAGCAAGAGAAATCAGGGTTTAATCCTACAGGACAAGGAGGAAAAAGAAAACTTCCTTTTGGAAAGGGAAGCCACAGGGTAACCGTAAAATGCCAAAACACCAATGGTATTGAGTCAAAGGTGTGAAATGACAAACGTGATTGTAGATGGACACTTGCAATTAATTTGTTTATTGCTAATGGTAATTTTTGTAACTCACGTGTTGCTAATAGCAAGAATTGCAAAAATATACAAAGTGCCTAATCTTTTGGAAAATCTCCTGAACACGTTAAGAGTAATGCATAAGAACACATTTTGTTAAAAGACCTTGTGATAGGTATCACGGGAGTTCAGATATATTTCAGAGTAACAGCCGTGCTAGTCTGTATTCGCAAAAAGAAAAGGAGTACTTGTGGCACCTTAGAGACTAACAAATTTATTAGAGCATAAGCTTTCGTGAGCTACAGCTCACTTCATCGGATGCATAGAATGGAACATATAGTAAGACAGATACATCTCACACACACACACACACAAGTTGGAAGTTACCATACAAACTGTGAGAGGCAAATTAGTTAAGATGAGCTACCATCATCAGGAGAAAAAAATCTTTTGTAGAGATAATCAAGATGGCCCATTTAGACAGTTGACAAGAAGGTGTCAGGATACTTAAGGAAATAGATTCAATATGTGTAATGACCCAGGCACTCCCAGTCTCTATTCAAACCCAAGTTAATGGTATCTAGTTTGCATAGTAATTCAAGCTCAGCAGTTTCTCATTGGAGTCTGTTTCTGAAGCTTTTCTGTTGCAAAATTGCCACCATTTAAATCTTTTACTGAGTGGCCACAGAGGTTGAAGTGTTCTCCTACCGGTTTTTGAATGTTAGGGTTCCTGATGTCAGACTTGTGTCCATTTATTCTTTTGCGTGGAGACTGTCCAGTTTGGACAATGTCCATGGCAGAGGGGCATTGCTGGCACATGCTGGCATATATCACATTGACAGATGTACAGGTGAACGAGCCCCTGATGGCATGGCTAATGTGATCATGCAAGGCATTGAATTTAGCCGTATGGAATGGAAATCCATCAACTTCATGAAAAAACTTGTATAGATACAGACAGACATCATCTTCCTCAATGGCAACTGAGGTCTTGTTTTGCAGGGCATCTTTTGGAGCCAATATGGTTCCATGAAGCCATGACTCTTCTCATATGACAGAGCTTTATAGTGATCTTCCTTTTTTGCTGTAGAGTACTTTAAATAAGATAAGTTAGTAGAGGATAACTGTTCACCTTAGTTGAGAGGCAGAATGATTGGGTGGGTAGGGAACTGGACTGGGGCTCTGACCCAGATTCTTGTTGACTCTGCCCCGCTGCATGACCTTGGGCAAGTCATTTAATCTCTCAACCACTGGTCTGTCTTATTTTTTAGATTGGAAGCTCTTTGGGGCAGGTATCTTTTCTTACTATGTGTTTAGTACAATGTCTGGCACAATGGGCCCCTATCCTTGGTTGGGGCCTCTAGATGCTACTTTAATACTACTGCTAAGCATAATTATTATACAGTACCTATAAGTCAATACACGATCTTGAATTAATATGTATGTGTTGCCACTAAAGCTGGCTCTTTCCACTCAAACGCCTCTTGATACCCAATTAGGGACAACTTTTTTTAAGCAAGCCAAGATTTGTGCATTTTTTTTTTTTTTCAATGACCACCACATTTCAGATTTCCTAAGTAGCCATCCTGTGTACATCCAGAGCCAGGCCCTTCCCCCACTCTTTTTTTTTTTTTTTTTTTTTAAATATACCCCCTTACATCTTAGATTATGGTCTCCCATTACAAGCTCTCATAGGAAGACATAGACATATTTGTACAATGCCTAGCACAGTGAGATCCCAATTGTGATTGGAGTCTCTAGATGGTACTGCAATAGAAATAATACTGCTGGCACTGACTTCAGACAGCAAATGGCATACCTTTTGATCCTGATGCTGAAGGACACCCTCTAGTCATCGGAGCTTGATACATTTTCTTATGTTAATTTTAGAAACTATCCTCTTAACAAAATATACACTCTAAGGGAGAAAAACTTCCTTGCTGTACATTTTAATAAAGGAGGGAGAAACAGTGTACATTGTAAATAATGATTTCCATTAGTTCTTATTGACCTGAAATAGAAACCAGCAGACACTTCAGTGTGCATGTACAACAGCAGGGGTTTCTGCCAACACTAATGTATATTCCCTTCTGTGAGATCCACAGTCCTGCACCTTCCTGCAATGATTCTGCTGCCTCTTTGAAGTGAATGGCATATTAGCAAGTGCCTGCTTTTCTGAAATAATAGGCTGTGCAGTGCTTGATACCAGACTTCCTACTGAGCCCATTCAGACACTGAACCAGTGCATATTATTTATTTAGATAATAGTGTATGTTATCTAAATTCAACTTGTAAATGCCCTCTGCTTGATTTTGATTTCAGCAAATCAAAATTTTCAAGATTATTCTAATCTTCATAGTACGTTATTTCACAAAATTTATTTTAATTTGTACTCCTTTCAGCTGTAAATGCAGTATCCTTGGGGAAAAATGGAGTTGTGGAACTGATGTTCAAGATCATTGGCCCTTTTAGTAAAAAGAATACTGGCCTTATGAAGTGAGTAAAAGTTTTTAACATACTATATTCAAAAATTTAAGGTGCTTTTAAAACTTCCTTTTTGATGAAAATATTTTTTAAAATAAAATCTTTCCTAGTATTTGACAGTTAAATGATAAGGGAAGAACACCCCTTTCCACCCACAACAAACCCAAGATTCTATTAAGGCCTGTCCAGAGCAATGTAGCAAAATCTTAAAATTTGTGGCTATGGTGGTAGTTGCCTTTTACTTTTGCACACCTCCCTCATACATCAGTCACCTGTAAAATTAAAAAAAAAAAAAAAAAAAAAAAAAAAAAATTTGTATGGCTTTACCACATTGTAGATTAAATTTACTAGTTTGTTGTTTCTCTCTTTATGTTGACAGGGTTGCTTTAGACACACTTGCTGCATTGCTAAAATCAAGTAAGTGTTTGACTACTAGAAACTATTTTTACTAAAATAAAAAAACTAGATTAAAATAATATTAAGAGTCTGGCTGAAAAAAAGAGAAGCCAGGAAATGTAGAATTTAAGTTGAGATTCATCTTTAGTATGTTCTGTTCATTATTGCCACATGTATAATACACAGTAACTCCTTATCCAGTTACGCAGCACAGAGACTACCTGACTTAGATAGAGACTGACTTGGATCCTGAGAAGTGGAAGAAGCTTTTTTCCAAATACTCAACCATGCCCCTCAACAGTAGAGTTGTGACCATCTCCTCCCAGCCCTGACTGCCGTGTGTGTCAGTGAGGATGCTGGGGGATGGCACCAAATGTAGTCTCCGTCATAGTCAGGCTGTCACTAAATAGGTCTTGGGGTCTGGAGTATGTGTCCTTTAGGTGATAGCTCTAACGTGCAGCTATGGGGAAGTGACAGGACCCATCCTTCTCCAGTGGCAACTAAGCATGAGAGGAGAGTGATAACGACAAATTCTACCCCCACTGACTCTTCAAGTATGTTAAGGGCAGTGGTGCAAGTGGAATCCATTTCTTACCGGTACCAGGGGGACCCACGGGGGCGAGGGTATGTGATGTTCTCACTTGACTCCTCCCCAGCCCGGGGCCCCCACGCTCTCCCCGTTCTCTTCCCCATGATCCACCCCCCCCTTACCTGGAGAGGGGAGGCTCTGTCCTCCTGCTGCGCCTTCGGAACCACAGTGGCGAAAGGAATAGAATGTGGGGCCACTGGGCGGCCCCATACCCGCATCTCCTCCGACACGGCTGTACCGGTATCGCCCCCAGCCCTTCCACACAGGGTCTCCTCTGTCTGTACAGCAGCAGCCCTGCCGGAGGACAAGGCTGACCACAGGACTCTCCCAGAAACTGCAGTGTGGAAAGGAGCAGAATGTAGGGCCGCTGGGTGGCCCCACGCCCGCAGCTCCTCCAGCACAGCTGTACTACCCCCAGCCCTGTCCTCTGGTGGGGCTGCTCTACAGATGAAGGAGACCCTGCATGGAAGGCACAGTACAGCTGTATCGGAGGAGCTGCGGGCATGGGGCTGCTCAGCGGTCCCACCTTCTGCTGCTCCTCTTTCCATATCGGTATGCCATATCAGCTGTAAGTATCTTCCTTGTACAGTGTACCTGACCATGCTGCCCTACTTGCACTGCTGGTTAAGGGTCATGATCCTCTTCCCTCACAAGAACCGTGTGCAAGCGATCGTCGTCGTAGAACTTCAGTAGATTGGGTAGACATTGAGAGGTGATCAAGGCATATGTAGAACACCTTCAGGGGTTTGACTGGAAGCTCATTTGGATAAGGTCTCTGCTCCATTTTGTGCTCAGCTAGCTCGCCTCACATTTGATCAGCCATCTGCCTCTGGCTCTCAGGACTGTAGTAGTAAGTAGTTTTTAGGCTTCATCCCTAAGAGAATGCCAATGGAAGGAAATGTTAGCTCAGAATAATGTTGGTCTGCTCCTGTGTAAATGCAAAGTCAAAGCTGAGATGTGTATTTTCAGAACAGGGGACCTTAAATGATGATGTGTGTAGGAAAGATAGGAAGTATGGTAAGAGACTTGATGGACAGGAAGTATGGCTTAAATAAAAAGTGGGAAACTAGGTTAAATTACGAAAGATGAATATAAAGAAACACAAGCATGTAAGGACAAAATTAGACAAGCTAAGGCACAAAAAGATTTAACTAGCTAGGGACATAAAAGGTAACAAGAAAACATTTTAACAAATACATTAGAAGGCTAAAATAGGGAAGGAGCAAATTAAGAATTACTTTGACAAGTTAGATGTCTTTAAGCTGGCAGGACCTGACAAAATACATCCTAGAATACTCAAGGAGCTGGCTGAAGAACTGTCTGAGCCATTAGTGATTTATCTTTGAGAACTGTTGGAGGATAGGAGAAGTCCCAGAATATTGGAAAAGAGCAAATATAGTACCGATCTATAAAAAAGGGAGAATAAGGGCAACCCAGAAAATTATAGACCAGTCAACTTACCTTTGGTACCCAGAAAGATAATGGAGCAAATCCATTGTAAGCATCTAGAAGATTAAGGTCATACATAACAGTCAACATGGATTTGTCCAGAACAAATCATGTCAAACCAACCTAATATCCTTCTTGTGGATGGGGGGGGGGGAGCAGATGTGATATATCTCAACTTTAGTAAGCCTTTTAATATTGTAACACATTACCTTCTTATAAGGAAACTAGGGAAATATGGGCTAGATGTACTTGCTATAAGGTGGATGCATTACTTCTCTCTAGGAAAGGTTTTCCAGCCAGTTATCAATGCTTCACAGTCAAGCTGGAAGGGCATATCAAGAGGGGGCCTGCAGGGATCCGTCTTGAGTCTTGTTCAATTTAATATCTTCATAAATAATTTTGGATAGTGGCATAGAGCACGTTTAAACTTTGTGGGTTGGGGAAGGTGGGGGTTACAAGCGCCTCGGAGGACAGGAGTAGAATTCAGAATGATCTGGACAAACCAGAGAAATTATCTGAAATAAATAGGATGAAATTCAGTCAGGACAGATGCAAAGTACTACACTTAAGAAGGAATAATCAATTGTACAAATACAAAATGAGAAATGACTGTCTAAGGAGGAGTATTGCAGAAAAGGAACTGAAGGTTATGGTGGATCACAAACTAAATGTGAGTCAGCAATGTAATACTGCTGCAAAAAAGTGAACATCATTCTGGGTTGTATTAGGAGGAATGCTGTAAGCAAGACACTAGAAGTAATTCTTCCGCTATACTCAGCACTGATAAGGTCATAACGGGGCAACTGTATTTAGTAATGGGCACCATATTTCGGGAAAGATGTGGACAAACTGGAGAAAGCTCAGACGAGAGCAACAAAAATGAATAAAGATTGAGAAAACATGTCCTATGAGGAAAGATTGGAAAAAATTGAGTTTTAGTCTGGAGAAGAGAAGACTGAGGGGGGACATACCTTTTTCAAGTTTTTAAAAGGTTGTTATGAAGAGGAGGGTGATAGATTTTTCTCCTTATTCATAGAAGACTGACCAGCAAGAGAGATTTAGGTTAAATATTAGGAAAAGCTTCCTAATAGTAAGGGTAGTTAAGCAGTAGATCCAATTACCTAGGAGTTTGTGAAATCTCTGTCTTTGGAGGTTTTTAAGAATAGGTTAGACAAACGCTTGTTACGAATGGTCTAGATAATGCTTTACTCCCCTGCACCGAGACAGGACTGACTCGTGACCTATCGAGTCCTAAATTTCTATGATTCTATTATTTTTTTTATTATGTAAACTGAGATTCTGCTTGTGTTCATTTTTGAGATAAGTTTCTCGCGTCCTGAATGTGCTGGCCTTTGCATTTTGTTTCTCTGCATTTCTGAGGCATGTAATTTCACACCAGAAATGCATAATTTGTGAAGAGTTTGATTTGTAAAATGAAGATTTTAAATGTAAAAGAAAATAGAAGTGCCCTGCTAAATCTTAAACTAGTGATTGTCTGTAAAGATCTCTCTAGTTTATGATTGCAGAACTGCGTGTTATAACACTCTGTTTTCCCCTCAACCTCAATAGTGGGACTCCAGGACTCTTTCCCCAGCCCTAACTGCCATCTGTGTCAATCGGGTTTCTAGAAGATGGCACTGAAGTATATACTGTCTTCCCATAGTCTAATTAAATAGGTCTTGGGTCATGAAGTAAGTGGTATTTGGTGACAGCTCTGAAATGGAGCTGTAGCTAGGGAAATTAAAGTCCTGGTATCTTGCCGAAGAATTTTCCTTTTGGTTGAAATAATTTTAATCACTTATGTTCTGCGATTTCTGTATTGCTGTATCCTGGCCACCAATTTCTTACATATTCAGCTGAAAAACTTGAACTTCAAAATTTCTATCTAATCAGGAAACTAGTTTTCACTGAAGTTCAATTATTTTGTTATGTTTGAAAATTTTGAGGCTTGAACTCATAAATTTATGAGTGTGTGAGCAACAGAAAAACATCTGAAGTCTGTAGCCTCTGCCTTACATTTTATAGGTGAGGTAAACGTATATAGTAGGCATGTATACACACATTTTATGTGATTTGATTTACTGGTTTTACTGACTTTGTGCCTGTTAACTAGTGAAGCAGAATCTTAAGAAGAAAGTAGGGAAGTTAAATGAAGAGTCAGGTTTGAGGAATGAAACAAACTGTTGATATTTATCACTGCAATCAGTCTTCAGACAAGTAGTCTTTTCTAAGCCTGTTCTATTGTTAAATGTAAACCATAAATAGAATATCTATATGGGGTTGACCTGGAGTGTCAGTCACATGAATATATTATATTCATAGCAAAAAATACTTATGAAATAGTGACAGGTTTCAGAGGAACAGCCGTGTTAGTCTGTATTCGCAAAAAGAAAAGGAGGACTTGTGGCACCTTAGAGACTAACCAATTTATTTGAGCGTGAGCTTTCGTGAGCTACAGCTCACTTCATCAGATCATGCTCAAATAAATTGGTTAGTCTCTAAGGTGCCACAAGTCCTCCTTTTCTTTTTATGAAATAGTGTAATTGTTTTTCAAAATTAATTATAATTTAAAAGTAGCACATCTACATTTACTGCTTGCTAATGTCTGTTTTGTAAAACAAATAACTTGTGAGCTATATAAACCAGAAAACTTCTTGTTTTGTGTGCACATTTAGCTTACTGTTCAAACCAATTTATTTTTGAAGTGGGGTTTTAATAAAAATTTTCAATAGCCTGAAGTTATCATTTTTTCCACCAAATGTTATCATGGAGCAAATATTAATAGAAATGTATAAACTCATGGAAACGTTAAGTTAAAAAGGAAACACTGATGCCAAATACCTATCGTAGTGCTGCCTGTCACCATTACATCAGTTTAAATAAATTGCAAGGCTTAGAACATCTAGGAAATTTGATCTTTCTTTACATATTCTGCTCAATCACAATAGAGCAGTGAGTCAAATATGAGTATTCACTGAATACAGTTTCTTCAGCCAACTTAAGTATGTGTTTTAGAATGACTTAGTTACAGGCTTTGTGTCTTGATATAGAAAGCAGTAGCAAAGGATGCACGGGTATGTCTAGAGAATGTAGAAACTTACTTTGTGGAACATGCCTTATGAAATTCAGTGGAAGAAAGGGAAACTGCACTACGGATGACTGGAGTGCTTGTCACCATAATGATTCTATAAAATGGAACACAAGTGAAGTTGCTAGCTTTAAACTTGAACTAAAAGTAATATTTACGACTGATGATTAGTGAAAACAAGAGTTAGGTTATTATATGCTTTAGCAATCTTTTAATTTCTTTTCTTTTCTTAAGAAACGAATGCCAGGAGAGCGGTAGACAGAGGATATGTCCATGTGCTTTTAACAATTTATGTAGACTGGCACCGTCATGATAGTCGACACAGACACATGCTGATCCGTAAAGGAATCTTACAGTGTATTAAAAGTGTTACAAATATCAAGTTGGGAAGGAAAGCATTTATTGATGCCAATGGGATGAAAATTCTTTACAACACTTCCCAAGTGAGTTTAATTGCTTTTTTTGCTATGATTGCACATGAAGATTTTTTTCTGTGTGCTATTATGGGTATGCTGTTTTAAATGATCTCATGACTCAGTCGTTAGCATTTATTTTCTACAAGACAACTTCTAAGATCAAAAGTTAAACAAAACAGTTAAATTGCTTTTCACCATTGAATTGTTAGTGTATATTGTAAACTACTATTCCATGATAAAAGTATATTTGGCTCTTTTTTACGTCCGTGCATAACCAAATTTTCTGTGCTGAATTAGAGCTGTCAAGGCTGGTACACCACCAGCTATGTGAATTCATATGTGATTTTATTGCTTTCCTTATGGGGACTCTCTCTATAGGGGTTATTTCCATTTCTAGTTGAATGCTGAAGGTCTCCCGGTGTCTTCTGCTTTGCATCCTAAGATGTAAAGCAGAAATCATATACTAAGGTAGTGCATCATTGTCACGGTCCTGTTCCATGTGGTGGTAGTACTCTGCCCTGCTACAAGAATTAAGTTTAACTTCTGTGATTGGTCTCATTCTTTGGCTTTGCCTCTCTCCAGCTTTAGCCATGTGATGGAAGTTTTATACTTCTTGGCAGTAATTTAGGCTACCAATGGAGAGAGACTGAGCTCCAAAGAGAATTCTCTTCCAAATGATAAAGGTGTAGCAGGAGGATTTATAGGTTTCAGTCAAATGGAGTAGGCAGAGATTCTTTTATATTCCATTTATTCAAGTAGTCATAAAAACTTAGTTGTACCTTAGTATAACTATTTTTATATTAAATTCATGTTGTTCTGGAGTTTTCCAGTGGCAATATAATCTAAAATATTCTAGTCTTTTGTATGTTCTACATGCAGTGTTGTATGTTTCTAAAAACAGTTGTGTAGTTTGCATTCCATTGTTTTCATTCTTTCTTTTCTGTAACAGGATTGCCTTGCTGTGAGAACTCTTGATCCTCTAGTCAACACATCAAGTTTAATAATGAGAAAATGTTTTCCTAAAAACCGTCTTCCACTACCAACTATTAAAAGTACTTTTCATTTCCAACTACCAGTTATCCCTATTAGTGGTCCTGTGGCCCAGATGTACAGTTTGCCTCCTGAAGGTATAGTCAGTTGGTAATATGTTGGCTTTTGTTTTTATATATATTTAACATTGTTCTCTGCTAGATGGATCAGACTTGCACATATGTTTGTGATTTATCTAGTCCTCTAGAGCTCACTGGGGAGAGTGAATTAATATAGATTCTCCTTCAGCTTAGTGGTAGGTCTGTGGTTTTGGAGCAGAGTGTGAAATTCTATCTTCTGTACTATGTGCAGGTTAGCTGACAACAATTTCGTCTGCATGTGTGTGGCTATGGGCTGAATTTACTTTCTTCCAAATGTCTAAATAGGCACTAATATTGCATTCATTAAGGAACCAATCAACAGAATGAGTGCCTAAATGATCTTTTACTAAAAATCTGCAAAATTCCTGCACAAAATCCATTTGAATTTTTAGAGTATTTTCTATGATCCATAATAGGCCAAATTCACCGATAGTGTAACTAAGTACATATGCACTGAAGCCACTGTAGTATGTCCACTCGTACCAGCAGTGAATTTAGCCCAGTGTTCCTAAATTGTATCATGCGAACAGTTCAATGTGCTTACCTTAGTTTATTTTCCATTGAAATAAATTAAAAATGTTAAGTCCTTTCCTTCATATTACTGGAGCCAGATCCAGTCCAAAATCTAGCAGTGCAAAGTGTCCAGAAAGGCAACTTAAATTCCCCAGCCCTGTTTGGAAGAGGTAGTCGCATGCTGAGCAGAGAAGGCCTGGTCCTGAGGAGTTGGTCCAAAGTGTCTTCAGTGCATATGTTGAACGTTTCCTATGTGAATATATTTTTTTAAAAAGTGGAAGAATCGTTTAAATGTTCTTACTGGACAGAAATGTAATACATGGTTCTGCAGTATTGCCAGCTGAGCCTTCTGTCTCTGATAAATCCGCTAATGTTTAGCGTTCACATGTTTCACAGAAGTTTAATTTGTGTGGTATTGACAGATTTCAGTTGGTGAGTGAAAAAGTTTTACACATTACATTTTCTTCTGAAATGTACATGTTGTAGAAAACCTACATCTGCCTTACTTATAGAGCATTTTATATCACAGTGGATGACGTAGTAGATGAAAGTGATGACAATGATGACATCGAAACAGAAAGTGAGATTGAAAATGAAAATGAAGATAAGGACCAACTCTTTAAGGTTAGTACTAGACCCAATCAAAGGGAGCAGATTTATACCATCAATATATTTTTTTCGTTACTTTAGAAGTTCACTTTCGCCATCCCCATAACTATGTGTTCACGTATTAAGGAGATATCAGTAGTGAGTCCAATTGGTATTTCCAAAGGGGCGAAATGGAGGTGCACATCGAGATAGTTGCCGAAAGTCCATTGAAAATGAATGGAAGTTGGGTGTCTTATTCCCTTATGTCCCCTTCGGAAAAAAAAGTCTTCTGTAGTTAAAGTTGAATCAAGATTCCTACCTAGGGTAGGTCTAAAATATCTCTGTTTCACACATCAGTGATTTAATATCTCCAGATGTTGGCACACTGACTCTTCAGAGGGCAATTGAATTTACATGTAGTTCGTAGCAGAAACATTTAAAATGTTCCCTCTGAAGTATTGCTCTGTCGTCTGCACTTTTTGCATTCCTCCCTAAACAACCAGAATCCCCATGAACTGTACATATGCATGCATTTACTTTCAGATAGTAACTGTAGCCATGGGCCACATCTGAACTTTTTCAAATTAAACAAACATGCATGCTTTTTGTCGGAATGAAGTTTCTCGCCTTCCAATATCAAGCCCCACTTTTCCCACCTCCACGTGACCCTCCTTTAGGATTTCCCCCGTACCTCTTATGCAATCCTGATGCTCTGTCATCCCATCCAGAGCCCTTTCTTTTGCAGCCCTTCTGCCTAACGTCCTTAAAATGGATACTGATAAACAGGTTATCAGTGTTTAAAAGCCAAATGTTGTAGGAAAGTGAAGTTGTGGTAAGGTGCAGGGGTGTTACGGAATGGAAAGAGGGAACAGTAGGAGTGAAGCATGAGAGAAGTCTGGACTATATTAAGTTGTAATGGGGCAACACAGCCGGACATGGAGGAGAAATGCAGTTCTTCAGGGCCACTACAAGAAGTGGGATGGTGGAGAGGGAAGTGCTTGTTGAGATATATCAGCTCTGCCTGAGTCATTACACAGGGTACAATATGCATCAATACTGATGGTATCTGTGTGAATAACTACCAGAATTAAAACATACTTATTAAAGCTGGGAAATTTGTACATCAAAACATTACTTAACTTTGGTGTTCTGTTTTTTTTTTAGAGTAGGCCGTAAGCCAAAGCAATGGAGTAAGCAGTTAAATGATTTTATATCCTATCTGTACTCAGCTCATTAGTTCCCCCATCACAATCTCTATCCCAATCTGCAGCCCACATAACTTTGTACTCATCTTGAATGATTTCACCTGAGAAATATATTACACATACTATATTTGCATACAGGCAGGAAAATTTATGACATACATGTGGTGATATATCCAAGGTTTTCTGCAGACAAATCAGATTGGTATGCTAGTATCTGTTTTATGTAAACTATTAGCAGTGCTTAATATATAACTGTTTTTTAGATTTGAAGCTCTTTTTTGTAATTTAACTGAGAAGTTAACTTTTTCTGTTGCTCTTGCAGAACGATGATATAGAGACTGATATTAACAAACTGAAACCAAGGCAAGAATTGGGACGACCCATAGAAGAACTAAAAATGTATGAACAATTTTTCCCAGAACTTGCAGATAACTTTAAGGTAAAGGATGTTAGATTTCATTAATTGTTTTACTGCATATCTTGAATGCTCTGTTTTTAACTGTTCATAACTCTTAACTTCTAACCCATCCTTTTCAAACTTGATCATAGTCCTCAATGGGGTATGTCTTGCTTACATGCCAAACAGCTAAATTCAGCTGTTTAAAGTTATTGTGGGAATATTTTTTATAGCAAGCATAACTACCCCATGTCTGTATTTATAATTTTTAAAAAGGCCCATGGTGTCTTGGTCACACTTGGAGGTAGGGGAGAAAAGTGTGTGTGTGGGGAAGGACGTCCCTCGGGGGGAGGGATAGCTCAGTGGTTTGAGCATTGGCCTGCTAAATCTAGGGTTGTGAGTTCAATCCTTGAGGGGGCCATTTGGGGCAAAAATTGGGGATTGGTCCTGCTTCAAGCAGGGGGTTGGACTAGATGACCTCCTGAGGTCCCTTCCAATCCTGATATTCTACGATTGTAGATGGAATCCTCATATGGAATGCTCTGAGCATGTGAAAAGAGGGTATGCTTGGTAACGAACACTGTATTTTACCATAGATTACTATATATTCTTTTAAATAACAAGGAATGCTGGCTTTTAGTGCTAGGATGATGTTTGCTGTGCTAAAAGGGAAATGGTCACAAGAGCCCCTATTGACTTTAGGCTCCAAGTAATCAATTGATTTAGCAGGTACTATGAGCGGGTGTTCATGACACTAAATGAAAATGACTTTAGCATGTTTGAAAACTGTAGATCTCTTCTGAATCATAACTGTAAAAATGGTACCATGGGATTCCATGTTTGTCTCAATAACTTCCAGAACAAACTTACTTGGCTTGAAAGAAAATGACATTTTTTATTTGTTTCTTGCCCTTTGAAATCAACTTGACTCGGAGCACAGGTTGAGTTTTTCCTCCTCTCTTGTTCAACACCACATATAATAATAATAATAATTAATAATAAATAAACTCTGTAGGCCAAACTGGATGCCATATTTAACTCTGTAGTTTTGAAGTTGTCTTTCGTGTCAAATTTCACATTGCCTCTGTAAACCCATCACCTCCAGTGGTTTTACACAGATGTAACTAATTTAAAATATTAGTAAATCTTTTTGATACACATGAAATAATAGGATACAAGTCACTCTCTCCTTGCTATGGTGGCTGTGCTAATAAGAGAAAAGAGTAAAAATTGTTTTTGGCACAAGTGTAAAGACGGCTCTGAAATAACAGCAGATCTGTTATGTAAGAGGCTGTACCTTTTTTTATATGAACACTTTTTTCAGAATAGAACAGTACTTCAAGCATCTCATTAGTGCATCACATAATTACATGCCATCAGCTATTTGTATAACCAGCAACAAATTTTTATTTGTAAACTAATCAAAGTTGATATGGAGTAATTGAAGCAATGATTTGTGAACTCCAAAATACCATTTTGAGTCATTTTTAACCTTATACTACGTCTTAATTATGTTACTGAGCTAGTCACTAGTGCCAATCATTTTTCAGCTTACCTAGTGACACTAGCAATATAAGAGTTTTATTTTAAGATTATAAATCAGTGTCTATCTTGCTGTAACTAATCAGAAAAAAGTACTGTGTTTAAAAAAATAACTTTGATATGTCTAAACTGGTGTAAAGTTGTTCTGTTGAAAATATAAAACCAACACTGAAAGTTTGCAGATGACACACAAATTGGGGGTGTGGTAAATATTGAAGAGGACAGGTCACAGGTACAAAGCAATCTGGATTGTTTGGTAAGCTGCATGGAAGCAAACAATATGCATTTTAATATGGCCAAATGTAAGAAACAAAGACTATAGGCCTTCCTTACAGGATTGGAAACTGTAAGCTGAGCATCGCTCACTCTGAAAAAGACTAGAGAAGTCATAGGGGATCATCAGCTGAACATGAGCTCCCAGTGCAGTGCTGTGGCCCAAAGGGCTAGTGTGATCCTTAGGTGCATGAACAGTAGGAGTAGAGCGATTATATTACCTTTCAGTATGGCACTGGTGCAAGCACTGGTAGAATACTATGTTCAGTTCAGGTGCTCACAATTCAAGAAGGATGTTAATAAATTGGAGAGGGTTCAGAGGAGAGCTATGAGAATGATGATGGAATTGGAAAATGTGATAGCTCTATCTAGTGATAGATTCAAGAAGCTCAGAGGCTGATCAAGTCATCCCTTAACTTCTATCAATACCTACATGGGGGACAAATACTTGATAATGGGGTCTTCAGTCTAGCAGACAAAGGTATAACAAGATCCCATGGTTGGAAGTTGAAGCTAAACAATTTCAGACTGGAAACGGGGTGTACATTTTTATTTTTTTTTTTTGGAACAATTAACCAAGAGTTGTGGTGGATTCTGTCATTGACACTTCTTCTAAAACAAGATTGGATTTTTTTCTACAAGAATATGCTCCAGTTCAAACAGGACTTGTTTTGGGGAAATTCTATGGCCTGTGTTATATAGGAGGTTAGACTTGATGATCACAGTGCTCCCTTCAGGCCTTGGAAGCTATGAATAGCTGAGCACTTTCCCACTGTTTGCGAGTACATATCTGATGACATGAGAGACTTATGTTTGAAATAGTAAATATCTTTCTGCCATAAGATGACTTCTCATAGCTACTTTTTGTCTGACTTCTTATGGCAAAAGTGTTTCTTGGGGTTTTGAGGAAGGTGTATAGTTTCCCTAGGGCTTTGACTGACTGTTGGTATGGCAGACAGAAGACCTGTGTTCTTCCTGGCTCTGCTGTTGGCTTGCTCTGTGACCTTGGGCAAATTACTTGATCTCTCTGCCTCATTGTCCCCAGCTTTAAAATAGGGATAATGATGATTACCCACCTTTGTAAAGCATTTGGTGATCTAAAGATGAAAATTATCATATAAGAGCTAACTATTCTCCTTTAGACTTCATACAGCAGGACACTGCTAAATCTGCATGAGAGAAGGGACTAGGAAATGGTCAAAACTTGAGGGAAATACATTTTATTTCTTGTTTAATATCTGAATATTGGAAAAACTGGAAAGCAAACGGGTAAAAACTGATCAAGTGGAAATGTTTGTTTTTAATGAGAGGACAAAGACGTTGATGAACCTTTCTAGTTCTTATGTCAGCAATATTATATATCTGCAATGTGATTAAATGCTGCACACCTTTTTAATTTCATGGCACAATTTAAAAAAAATTACTTGGAAGTTTTGTGATGTCATTGAAGAACTGCCTCATTTTGGTGGTGGCATGGCATTTTTCATTTGGAATAGGTTAACTTTTACAAAGTTTCTGTAGCTTAACAGGCAAACTTTTTAGGATTATGTTTATCCTGAATACCTTATTCCAAAATATACTTGTTTTATTGCCACTAAAAATCATGGAAAGGAAAAGCGTCCTTTTATAAGCGAATACAAACAAACTTTTAAAATGTGAAAAACTGTTTCCTAATCATGTTCTGTTTTTTTTTTTTTTGTAAAGGACTATGACTTAGTCTCCAAGGAACCAAAGCCTTTTGCATCTGATGCAAATCTAGGTGGACCTATTGTGGTTCCTACGGCAGGAGAGGAGCAGTCTGTAGAAGCAAATCACTCAGTCAAGGGAATTACTATGAAAGAGAGCAATCACTTGCAAGCAGGGGAGTGTAATAAAAGGCCAGCCTTTTTGGATTTGCCAAAGAAAGACAGCAACAAAGACGATAGTTTACAGCAGCAAAGTGATCAAAAGAAACTGCTTTCGTCATGCCAGTGCCTAAGCTATGAAATAGTGAAAGGCTTGGACAGGATCACTCTGCAGAATACTTCAAAAAATGAACAGTATTACAAAACAGGGTGTGTAACGAAGAAAGAAAGCAAAACTAGCCTTACCTCACTCACTTGTAATAAACCTTGCCAGCATGTTTCATCTTGTGGAAGTGTTCTGTTTGAGGGACGATCTGTCCAGCTGGGAAAGCTGTGCTTCACGGGTGTTGATCCTGAGGAAGAGGATGATTCCAGCTCGCATTCATCAGGGGAGCAAGTGATGCTTGAGGTGCCTGATATATTGCCACTACATGACCCTGATCTTTATATTGAGATTGTGAAAAACACAAAGTCTGTTCCTGAATATTCAGAAGTGGCTTACCCAGATTACTTTGGTCACATTCCACCTCCATTTAAGGAGCCTATCTTAGAAAGACCTTATGGTGTACAGAGGTGAGTTGATACATTTCTTTGAAAGACCAATTGTTGCAAGAATATACAAATGAGAAATTCATATTTAATGTATAAAATTATCAACTTTGTTTATAGTCTTGTCTCTAAAACATTTTCAAAGAAAATTGTTCTGAAAGCAAATGACAAGCTGGTACAAACTAGTAAACAAGGTAATGAAGTTCTATTGTGAAAGAAGTTTTTGGTATAATTTTCTGTAATTAAAGCTATCTGAATGTTAAGCTACCAAAAAAGTTTTTCTGAAATGAGAAATAGTGCCTTTAAAGCTTAATGTGAAAATAAATGGAGGGTGTAAGCAGTAAACGTTAAGTTTCTAAAGTTAAGCATTACTGGAGGATAGGAGATGGGACTGCTGGGGGAATTGGCTTTGAAGTTGGAAGTTTGAGGAAGAAACCCATGCCGCTGTCTGTGTTCAGGACCCAAGGCTGGAATTCTAAGAGTAGAGTAGGCTAAAACTCTGTTCTCTCTACTCAGTACAAAGGGATTACACTGGGATTGTGTGGTTTGAGGAGTCACTCGCTCACCCCTTCCCCCCCTACCCCCCAGACTAAGGGCTTGTCTGCACTCTCCTTGTTCTGAGGAAAGGGAGCTATTTATATACCCAGTCATTTTGTTGTCATCAAAACTTTGTCTTTCACAGGTACTTGAAAAGCACAGCCTTGTCCCTCAAAGTTGCATAGTGTAGACAAGCCCTAAGAGAGAAGGGCAGCTGGGGCTGTTCTCCAAGGGTTTTAACAAGTTCTGCTTTCACTGGGGCTGGGTATATAAATAGCTCCCTTTCCTCAGAACAAGGAGAGTCTGATTTTGGTGGGAGGTGGGGATGCAAAGACACTGTTAGTTTCTCTAGGAAGAAGGGGTAAGTAATCCATTATCATGGTTTTCATGCACTGTTTTTTTGCTTTGTTTTGGTTTTTGACTTGGGAAAGAATTGTGAAGCAGATCTGTCTAGGGATTGACCAAATGATTTTTGTTGAGGAAACTATTTTGAGCTTTTTAACTGAATCATGGATCCTCTTATAACTCCCCTTCAGAGAAGAATGTAGTTCAAGTTTGCTAAAGTTAATGTTTACTAGATATACACCCGCTCTTTTACACCCTGAGATTTGAGGGTTATGTTCTTACCGTACATTTTAGGGCTTTTTAAGGATCAGGTATTTTGGAAGCTGGGATGATCACTCAAGATCCATGAGTCACCAGTCTCATGACTATCCCAAAGTTCTAAATTCTTTTGCTAGATAGCTTCTAAATATGGCTAGATAGCTTCTCGTGCCTGAGACCAAAATCCAAGAGTGTGAATCTATTATAATTGCTGCTGTTAGAGAAGAAGAATTGCAGGTAAGTAATCTCTTTTGCTTTTCCAGTTTTTTTTGTTTTTAAACATAAATATCTTCAGCTATCTTTTTTTCCAGCCCCACAACTATTAGCTGGTTAAAAATGTCCAGTATCTTTTACCTTTATTTTTTTTCTGCAGTTTTTCCCAGTTCATTTCCATTTCCATTATCATTTTAATTTATATGTCTCTTGTCACTGAGGTATCTGAATACCTCACATCGTTAATGGATTTTATTCTGACAACACCCTGCTGAGATAGGGATAATATTTCCCTATTTTACAGATAGGGAAGTGAGGCATAGGGTAGATAAAGTGACTTGCTCAGGTCATGTAGGAAGTCCTGTGGCTGAGCCAGGAATTGAAGCTAGGTCCCAGTGGCCTATCTCCTAGACGGTCTTTCCTGCTACATGGGTAACTTGTTGGGCTTGTGATTTCTTTTAAGATTGGTTACTCTTGTGGTTAGACTGTCTTAGGCTAGCAAGAAATGGCGTATCTTCTCCCCAGTAACATTTACTTTAAGTGCAGATAATTGCCAGCCTGAACCCACTTTCAGACTGCACTGCAACACCCTACAGTGTTAATCGGCTTCCTTCTATTTTATCGCAGCTGGTGTGCAAGTTTTCCCACTCTAGCTTTTCCAGTCCAGCGCCTCCTTTGAACAGATACTGCCAATTATGCAGTGATTTGTAATGTAGATAAAATGTCCACCAAGCATTTGTCTGAGACCACCAAACTCATTCTCATTTGTGACCCAGTCAGTAGATGAACCTAGATCTCCAGAGGTGAAAGAGTAATGTCCTAACCCACTCACTCCACAGCCTAGCCCAGGGGTTCTCAACAAATTTTTTGATGGTCTCAGACTGCAGCCACCAACTCTCACTGATGGTTGTACTGACACTTTTTCCTAAAATACTTAATTAACTTCAGGAAAAACAACTAAATGTGTCCAGATACACATCCACATCATTGTAATGTATATTTGCCAGTTTTTTTGGCAGACTCAGTAATGCTGCCTTCCAGTTTGGGAGTGATATTTGTAAATATCACAGCACACTTAGTAGCTACCTGGGTGGCTATGAAAAGAGAGAAGTGATATTAATAAACATACAAGTACCACTTTTCACAGATAGCTAGTAAGTCTGCTGTGAAAGGTGATACTTGCATGTTTGTTAATATCACTTTTTTCCTCCCTGAAGGAGGGGATGGTGGCAAAAGGGGAGGCAGCAAGGGCCAGAGGCGATAGTGGGATGGATTCGGGGTTGGGGAAGGCAGCGAGGGCCCGGGGCAATATGGGGGATAGATGTGGAGCAGTGGGAGGCAGCGGGACCAGGAGTGATGAGGATGGGTGGTGAGTCCCACTGTCACGTGGTCAGAGCCAGAGCCTGGTGTTGGCTGCCATGCAGCCAGGGCTCAGTGCCCACTGCCAGAGCCCGGAGCTGGGGACGGGAACTGCGTGGCCGAAGCCAGGGATCGGAGCCCGCTGCCACACAACTGGAGTTGTGGGTCTGTGCCCAGGATCAGTACCTGCCGCCACATGGCCGGAGCTGGGTGCCAGAGCCCAGGGCTGCGTGGCTTGAGCCAGGAGCCAGTACTCGCTGCTGCGTGGCTGAAGCTAGGGGTCGGTGCCATGAATCAGCACCTGGGGCTAGCTCCCACCACCATATGGCTGGAGCCTGGGAACAGAGCTGTGGGTTGGCGCCTGCTGCCATGCAGCTAGGGCCAGGTCCGTTTAGCTGGAGCCTGGGGCCACCGCACAGCTGGAACTGCAGGCCAGAGGCCAACTGAAGCTCCGTGGCCAGAGCTGGGGATCAGCACCCGTGGCCAGAGGTTAAGCACCAAAGTCCCGTGGTTGGAGCCTGCTGCCATGCAGCTAGGGCTAGAGGTCATTGGTGCCTGGGGCCAGCGCTGACCACTTCACGGCCTGAGCTCAGGACTGGAGCTGGGGGCCAGCACCTGCCACATAGCTGGAAGCAGGTCTTGGAGGCTGAAGCCCCACAGCTGGAGGCCAGGGCTGCGTGGCCGGAGCCGGTTGTGAGTGTGTGTCAGTATTCGCTGTCCCGCAGTCAGAGCCTGGGGTCACGGCCAGGCTCCCGAAGTCCCGCTGCTGGAGCCTGCCACCCAAACCCCCTCCCCACAAGGTGGGTCAAGAACTCACCTTGCTCGTGCAGCGTTGTGCCCCACCTCTCTCCAGCGGCGGTGCAGGGTGGCGCATCAAGAAGCAACAAGGAGGGAGTGGGTGGGGCTGATGCTTCTCTCTCCTCCTCCTCCATCCCCCAATCACTAGCAAGGAGGCTGTTGTGGCTGCACAAAAAGCCTCACGTGGCCACAATGGCCACATTTGAGAAACACTGGCCTAGCTCCTAAAATCCCTTATTTTAATTACAGAAGGACTTGTATAAATTACTCTTATAACGGAATCATTTTCAAAGGTTACCTAGTTTTAAGCACTAATACCAAATAATATAGATCACATACTGAGCTTCTGCTATAATTATAATAACAAATTATTTCGTAAAAGTTAAACCCCAATGGGTTTTGTACATGAAGATTCAACCCCTGCACAAGCAAGTGTTAGAATTGGTCACCTGTGTAATGCAGGTGCTTGCACACCACAAGTGCACACATGGGGATGACATGGAGGCTTCACTGAAAATCAGGCCCTGCATGTTTGTGTTATAGCTTTGTTGACACACAAATTATGTACCATTTCTAGTTACTGTTGTAAAATGTATTTTAAGTGAGGATTCTCTTCTTACTACAGGACAAAAATATCCCAAGATATTGAAAGACTGATCCATCAGAATGATATTATAGACAGAATCATGTATGACCTTGATAATCCCAGGTAGGCTATATTTGTTGTAAAACAATCTTCAATTTGATTGTCAATTTTGCTTTCTTTAAGGAAACTATTCTGGCTTAAGATAAAGTACAGTAGATGTGAAGTCTGTGGTAAAGCCTGTCGTCTTAATAAGGACAATACTGTACCTTTTTTGCTGTAATCCTGAATGTATTTATTCGATATAGATTTCCAATCAAAAATCTGAATTAACAAATGAGTTCCAAAGATCCATTTTACTTACAATGGTCTTTTTTTTTCTTTCTTTTTCTTTCTTTTTAAAGTTATTCAGTGCCAGAAGAGGGGGAGTTTTTGAAGTTCAACTCCAAATTTGAGTCTGGAAATCTGCGCAAAGTTATTCAAATTAGAAAGTAAGAGCTCTTTCATTTTCTTATTTTTGCATATATACTGCAAATTTCTTATTTTAAGAAGACTTATTTCTCTTTGTTAATCTTCAGAAACGAGTATGATCTCATTCTGAACTCAGATATAAACAGCAATCACTATCATCAATGGTTTTATTTTGAAGTCAGTGGAATGCGGCCAGGCATTGGTTACCGGTTTAACATCATCAACTGTGAAAAGTCGAACAGTCAGTTTAATTATGGTAAGACTTCTTTTCAAAAGGGATGGAAAACTAGCATGTAGGGAGACCTACTGGACTATCCAGAACAGGATACCTTTCCCCCCTGGGATCACTAGATTATTCATCTCTTCTTTACAAATGAAACTCATAATATTTCATGTGGTGATGTCATTACAATTATTTTTTGAGTAAAACTGAAGTATAAGAATGCTGTTCCAGGCTCCTACTAAAATTGTGGTAAGGCTATTATCATAAGGTGCTGGAAAGAAAAGCTGAGTTGTTCTACATTGCGCCAAGAGGATGAAAACGGGGAGCCATTAAGACCCTCCTTGGAAGTTTTTGCATGTTTTAGTAAATGAAAATAAGTGCAAACATTGTCAAACAACTTTGTCTCTTGGATTTTGGGGATTTATGTGTGAGGGGAAAATGTCATGTTACTGAATGTAATCAGTAAATCCATGTAGGAGACTAGAATGAGCTGTAGGTTTAAGTGGAAAAAAAACTCAAGTTCTCTTTTCAAAATTGTTTATTTACATCCCCACTTTGGAAATGTTCATACTTCCCATGTGATATCTGAAATTTCTAGCCAGTAGTGTCTGTTAGGGCTGGACTCTTCCAAACTACATGTTGACATAAAAAAGAGCATGGTCCCCACTACTGTTCTTTTCTTCCATCCACCAAAGGATCAGTGGCCTTAGAACACTTCCTTCATTAGTCTTTCTTTTTTTTGCCCTTTTGGGCATTTTCCTGGTTAGTTTAGTTTTTTTAAAAGTTGTTTTTTTCACCAGTGTCAATGTGGCCATCCAGAGCTAGTTTTTCAGCTCTTGTGTTTTTCAGCCTTCCTGTGCCTCTGTACCAGTAGTTGGGTCTGCAAACCTCTGTGGCATTATTAAGGCAGACTTCAGGTGCTGTGGTTCTTGTGATGCCACAGTGTTGGTCACAGACAGCTGTGTTCAATGCCTTTGGTACTTGAGTGAAAGATCAGACCTAGATAGATGTTCCATCTGTCTTGCCTTCACTTCCTGAACCTGGAGGAGCACAAAGAACCCATCAAACTCTTTCTAGTGGAGGATGCTTGAGACTTAGTTGGCAGTCTTGTACTGAACGTCAGGCATAGTCTGTTACTCAAAAGACCTGAACACCAAAAGAGCCTGCTTGTGACATGGATCAAAGCGGAATGTAAAGATCAGTGGGAAGAGCATGAAGCCCTGCTGTTTAGGTCCGAGAGTCCAACTAAGTGTGAAGCTATTCTTCGTTTCTCTGGATAATCAAATTGAAAGTTAAATAGTGTTTTTCTGAATCAGCTGTGCAGCTAGGCAGAAACAGAAGGCTCCATTTTGATTTATAACCCACCAAGAAAAGTTCAGGTGCCCACTCAGTAGTTGCAATCATTGCAGGATAGTACTTTTTCACAGAGCCCATAATTAAAATGAGGGACTCATTGTCACAAGAAGTTGTTTAGGCCAAGAATTTAGCAAGAATGCTCGTTATTCTTGTTATCCATAGAAATGTCTAAACCCTCTTGTATTTTCCTATCAACATTTTTGGAAGGAATATTAAACCTCCTGCTTGAAGGCTTGAGCCCAATCTCTAATGGAGGTTAGGATGGATACCACACCTCTGTTACACTTTCTGAAGCATCTGGTACTGTCCACGGTGGGGGAGTCAGGATAGCATGAGCTAGGCAATTTTGGTACTCAGACCTAGAGAAACTCCTTACCTTGCTGGTTCTGCCCAACCTGGACTCTCAGAACAAGGCCAGAGCCTGTACCCAAACCAGACATCCTTGCACTGGATAGCTTGAATGCTGCCTGGATAATGTCTTCAGAAAGAAGCTGATCTACTACTGTTTAAGACATCTTGCTTCAGGGTGGAAAACCTTTAACCAGGCCGATATAAAAAGCCAAATGAAAGAAATGTTTCTATTTAGGCAATTCAGCAACACCTTTCTCCAGTGGCAGCTCCAATTGCAGTGATACTAGACAGTTTACTTTCCCTGAAATATTTGGGTCTGTCTCTAAGCCTGATAAGGGTTTAGCTGGCAGTGATCTCTGCAAATCCTCCCTATTTACAAGACCACGTTGTCTTTTCACATCCCACAGTGGGGCAGTCAGGACCAAGGGTCAGAGCTGGGTAAACCCTGAGGCTGGGAGTAGCAGAGGAGTCCATAGGTTCCAGGCCAGGGTCAATACCAAGGTTCAGAGTTCGAGTCAGGTTTCAGGGGCTGGGTCAGGAGATGAAGTCCAAGTCAAGCTGGGGTCAAAGCCAGGAGTTCAGGAGCAAGGAGCTGGAATGGTTGTGTCAGTTCCAGGAGATCTGGGCTGGTGCCTGCACATGTCCTGAAATACCTCTTGAGTTTATATAGGCAAGGGAGCCAGTCAGGAGACACAAGGCTGCAGCCTGTCAGACTGCTTTCCATGGTCTGTGTCCACAGTAGGGCATGGGCAAGTGGAGTTCAAGCTTGTGACAGCTGCTGCTGGGTGGCAACATGAAGATGTCAGCAGCCTGGGAGCTCTGCAGGCCTGGGTTCTAGACTTTACACTCACCAGTCAGGAAAAACCTCTGCTTCTTGAGACCCTGTTTCACTATTGATTATATTGATGGAGTCTCCCTCTTCGCCTACAGCTACCTGCTCTAATTATCGGTGAAAACTGTCTTTCTGGTAGCGTTTTGTTTTTCAGATAGGAGGGATTCAGGTCCTCAAGGCCAGGCCCCCCATATATGGTCTTTCACAAGGGCAAGGACTCCCTCGGGTCTCACCCTAAGTTTTCTATGCAAGGCAGCTTCCAACTTCCTCGTCAATCTGTCAATTCACCTCCTCGTTTTCTTTCCTAACCCATGTTCTACGCCAGGTGAAATGAAACTTCACATTAGATAGAACCAGGCCATGCTGGTACACACTTTCTTTATGGTGTTTGCTGAAAGTTTTGAAACAACCATATCATCCCAGAGACTAAGGGTACATGTATGCTGTGAAATTAAGTTAATATTATAGAAGTTGTTTTTTAGAATCGATTTTATACAGTCGATTGCGTATGTCCACACTAAGCGCATTAAGTTGGCGGAGTGCGTCCTCACTACCATGGCTAGCATTGACTTAAGGAGTGGTGCACTGTGGCTAACTATTCCACAGTTCCCGCAGTCTCCACCACCCATTGGAATTCTGTGTTAAGCTCCCAATGCCTGATGGGGCAAAAACATTGTCGCAGATGGTTCTGGGTACATGTCGTCAGTTGCCCCTCCCTCCGTGAAAGCAACGGCAGACAATCGTTTCCTGCCTTTTTTCCGTGCGGAAGCCACATTGCTTTCAGCAGACGGTGCAGTAGGACTGCTAACAGTCGTCATCCACCGCTTCCGCTGCAACTCTGCTCTGTTGCTATTGTCTCAATAGCGAATTTGTCCATGTTGTCTGTCATGGGCTCCCGGATACAGGTGTTCTTCCTCAGGAAATGTGTGCGGTGCTATCTTCCGCCTCAACTCTGCTCTCCTGCTCTCATGAATCCACCTCGCAGGTCCTCTCGTCGTTCTCTATAAATATCTATTCTCGTGGCATCAGTCGTCAGCCACCGCTTCCGCTGCAACTCTGCTCTCCTGCAGACGCCATACCATAGCAAGCCTGGAGCCCGCTCAGATCACCACGGCATTTATGAGTATTGTGAACACCTCGCGCATTATCCTGCAGTATGTGCAGAATCAGAACCTGCAAAAGCAGGCGAGGAAGCGATGGCAGCGTGGTGACTAGAGTGATGAGGACAAGGACGCAGACTTCTCTCAAAGTATGACAGTTTGGACATACTGGTGGCAATGGGGCAGATTTATGCTGTGGAACACTGATTCTGGGCCCGGGAAACAAGCACAGACTGGTGGGACCGCATAGTGTTGCAGGTCTGGGATAATTCCCAGTGGCTGAGAAACTTTCTCATGCATAAGGACACTTTCATGGAACTTTGTGACTTGCTTTCCCCTGCCCTGAAGCGCAAGAATACCAAGATGAGAGCAGCCCTCACAAGCGAGTGGTGATAGCCTTCTGGAAGCTTGCAACGCCAGAGAGCTACTGATCAGTCGGGAATCAATTGGGAGTGGGCAAATCTACTGTGGAAGCTGCTGTGATCCAAGTAGCCAATGCAGTCACTGAGCTGCTGCTATCAAGGTAGTGACTCTGGGAAATGTGCAGGTCATAGTGGATGGCTTTGCTGCAATGGGATTCCCTAACTGTGGTGGGGTGATAGACGGAACGCATATTCCTGTCTTTGGGACCGGACCACCTTGGCAGCCATTACGGGGTACTTTTCAATGGTGCTGCAAGCACTGGTGGATCACAAGGGACGTTTCATAGACATCAGTGTGGGATTGCCGGGAAAGGTACATGACGCTCGCATCTTAAGGAACTCTGGTCTGTTTGAACAGCTTCAGGAAGGGACTTACTTCCCAGACCAGAAAATAACTGTTGGGGATGTTAAAATGCCTATAGTTATCCTTGGGGACCCAGCCTACCCCTTAATGCCATGGCTTATGAAGCCATACACAGGCACCCTAGACAGTCGTAAGGAGCTGTTCAACTACAGGCTGAGCAAGTGGAGAATGGTGGTAGAATGTGCATTTGGATGTTGAAAAGCACGCTGGTGCAGTTTACTGACTCGGTTAGACCTCAGCAAAACCAATATTCCCATTGTTGTTGCTGCTTGATGTGTGCTTCGCAATATCTGTGAGAGTAAGGGGGAGACGTTTTTGGTGGGGTGGGAGGTTGAGGCAAATCGCCTGGCCACTGATTACATGCAGTCAGACACCAGGGCGATTAGAAGAGCACAGCAGGGCGTGCTATGCATCAGAGAAGCTTTGAAAACCAGTTTCATGGTTGACCAGGCTACGGTATGACAGTTCTGTTTGTTTCTCCTTGATGAAAACCTGCCCCCTTGGTTCACTCTACTTCCCTGTAAGCCAGCCACCCTTCAATCACCGCTTGCAGAGGCAATAAAGTCACTGTTGTTTCAAAATCATGCATTCTTTATTTATTCATCAAA